ATCAAAGTCACTATTTTGGTTATAGTCTATTTCTGTGCTACGTATATTAGCTTCATCTCTTAACTATGAAAATAACTCAATTATTAACGGAATCCAAAGTCAATATTTTGGTAACTGTCTATTTCTGTGCTACTTACATAAAAATGAACGTTAATATATAGGACCAGAAAATGGCAGACGAAGTGGCTTCAATTGTGCCACGCAATTTCAAAGCCGAGTACTTTTTTTTTTTTTGCTTGGTACGATGGATTTTATTCTATATTTACTCTTACTTTACATCAGAGGGATGGGAACATAAAGAGATCAAAAGGAATCCAACGAATTACTGCCGATTTTTCAAAAAAGCCCTAGATATTAGCCTACGTCCAAATCGTGCTATAAAGCTCTATTAATGGCCGAGTGCTCGGTTTTCGGAGTACTTTATTATGGTTGAGTTTTGGGGTCCAAATGTTGGCACCTGCAAATAGGATATTGCCATGTGTGGTGTGGTACCACAATCTTCAATCTATTTCCACGTAGGGAGCTTGCATGGTACTTCAAGTCTTTAACTTTGCTTCACAAATTTGGTTTTTTTTTTTTTTTTCTAAATTATTAGTTGAGCACCAGGATGCAAGTTAAGACCGGAGAACAGCTTGATCTCTTTAATTAAGAATTTGAAAATACTACATTCCACTAATATATAGGAGTGTAAACGAGTCAAATCAAATCGATCATCTAATGTTTAAATTTGTTTGATTATTTTAATAAATTTGAGATTTTGTTCGAATTTGGTTTATTTATTTGTTGAATCGAGTTTGAATAAGTTTTTTTTATTAACTTTGAATGTTATCGAAAATAAGGCCTCGTAACACTTAAAGCGCGAAGGGGACAACCTACCCTGTTTAAGTTTAATTTGATTAATTGGCGAATCAAACTCGAACGAGTTTTTATTAAATCGAACTCGATTCGAGTATTAATTAATTTGGTTCATCTTTAAACTCTACTACTTTGTGACTATTATTCGAGTTGAACCAAAAATTGTAATAGCCTCCTACGCAAGCATCCACAATTTGGATAGACAAATTATTCTAAAGAATATCTACTTGTATCATAAATATAGTTCTTAATTAATTTTTTATTTTTTTAGTTCATTTTAATTTCACATACATTATATTTAAAAAAAAATTATTATCATTATTTCAAATAATATTTTAAATAATCACTTATGCAAACACACTTCGATTAGAAGGAAAAGTTTATATTAAAATCTTCTTTTTTCCTTCAACTTTTAGGGAATGTGATGTGGTACACATGTTACCATATATCTTGTTGACATTAAATTTTAATAGTTGATGAACAAATTCAGAAAGCCTAAATTTAGCTAATAACTTGGCTTACTTTTTGTCACTACTGAACAGGACGATGACAAGAAACCATAGTGATGTAAAGTTTTTATTCCTTTTTTTTTGTTTTGCAGCACAGTGGTGTAAAGTCAGGAGGTTGGACCTTCTCCTAAAACTTTCAAGTCATTTAAAGCGAGAACATATTCGCTGTGAGCCTGTGACAACTAGTATTCCAATAATTACTGGGGTTGGTCCAGTGGTCATAGAAAAACTCTTAGCTCTCTACGCATTTATCAGATTTAGAATTTGAATTCGAATTCTGTGCCTCAAAATTGGAAGTGAAAAGAGTGTAGAGAGGGATGGATAAAAAAAAAATCAGTATTCCAATAAAGTAATTTACGATTGTAGAACAATCATAAAAATCTACCTTTCTCAATTCACAATGATAACCCAATGAGTTTTGTTGAAACGAGGAAATGCGACATATCTACCAAAAAAAAATTTGCAGGGAATATTACATATTTTTTTCCTCCATTTAACTCATTTTAGGGAATTGACGTCATTTATCATGTCTAACCTAATTAATTCATGAAAGAGAAAGAGGGCTTAAAATAATTATCATTCAATTATCACTTTGTCTGGTTAGAAAGGAGACTTTCTCAGGTCAATTACATTGCTAGACTCTTTATTAAGAGTAACTCCCATGGTCAAAAATGATACTCCCTCCGTTCCACTTTGATAGTCATGTTTTCCTTTTTCGTCTGTCCCAAATTATAGTCTACTTTTCAATTGAAGAATGTAGTTGTATTTTAATTTTCCTAAAATGCCCTTATTCAATGTAAGTTATTGTTACTATAAACCTACCCCATTTAATGAGAGTTGATTCTTTTTTTACCATCAATTCAAGTTCCCATAAAGTTGTACTCTATTTAATGTGAGGGTATTTTAGGAAAATAGCAATCTAAATTTACTTTTCCAACAAAGTTAACTACTTTTTCTTAAACTGTATGAAAAAAGAAACCGGACTATCAAAGTGGGACGGAGGGAGTATTACAACTTCCGCCTAATAACGGTAGAAGTAATATTTAGCTGCAAATGAAATCTAGTTTAGTGTCTATGTCGCGATTAGTGACTCAAAGTGCAGATAGTTCTTTAATTTTCCAAATTAGATAAAAATGTACATGCTCATTTGTTACTTCTTTAACAAGATCAATGCCCGAGTGATTTAAGGAAAGCACCAAACCAGAAGGACCTTCTGGATTTCAACTACTACTTCATGAATATGGTTGACATGGCATGCAATTGGTAGAATTAATTTTTTTTTTTTAATGAATGAAGTTGTTCCTTCATGTATGGATAGCTGTTGGAAAAATGGAGTTCATGCCAAAGCTCAAATCTCCTTTGACATTGATGACAGTGCCTGATCAAATTATATCCCTGAAAGGACAAACTCCACTTTGCAACCTCTAACTTATATCACCTTTTCACTTTATACTTTTAACTTCAACTTCGGAGATTTTATACCCTAAATTCTTAATTTTGGATATTTTGTATTTCAAACTCTTAAATTTGTCCTATTTAAATCCAATCAATGATAATTTTAGCAAAATTAATGACATAGAGGATTCTGTAAATCAATGATAATGTGTCAAAAGTAATCAAAAGATGCCAAGATATCAAACAAAATTGAAATCATGCATTATCATTAATTTGCACCATCTTTTTATCTCGTTAACTTTACTAATAATATTAGTAATTGAAACCTTATAAATCAATAAAAATGTACTAAAAGTGGTCCAAAAGTTAAGGATTGCAATTAGAACAAAACGGTACATTGTCATTGATTTCACCGCTTTTTATCTCATTAATTTGTGAATGTAGTCATTGATTGGATTTAAATTTGATAAACTTGAGAATTAGGGTGCAAAGTGTCCAAAATTAAGAGTTTGGGTTACAAATTAGGAAAGTGATATAAGTATGGAGGTACAAAGTGAAATTAATCCATCCCTGAAATAATAACCTAATATTTTTTGGTTTACAAAAGAAACTGGTTAGTTCTACTTTGCACTTTTCAATTATACCCTTCTCACTTTGGTCCTTATAGTTTAAAATTGGACATTTAAGTTTTTAAAGTATCAAACTTGTCCCACTTAAATAAAATCTATCAATAAAATTTTAGATTTTATTTAAGTGGAACAAATTTTAAACTTTAAGAACTAAAATGTCATACTTTGAGGTTTAGAGGCCAAAGTAAGAATTCCGTAGAGATGAAGGATTAAAATTAGGAATTACCCCACCCTAGTAGAATTGATCGCCATGCAAATGCATTTGGGCTCTCATGATCGTAAATTGACAGTTCTTTGGACTCATTAGAAACAAAAGTAACCAGAAATTGGAACTCTTTAAGTGCATACCAAATCCAAGGGCCACAGATTTAGCAGAAGTCAAATAATTGTGCACTGGCCCAAGAGATCCAACAATAGTTTTGATCGCTGTTTTTCTCTTCGTCAGTTAGTATATCTGTGGGAGGCCCAAAGACTTGACCCAATTTGCTATAGATTTCTGCACGGTTGGTGAAAGAATCCTTTAACATAAAAAGTTTAGAGTCGTGACCCACAAATTTTTAACATGTACAAAGTTCTGATTCTTCCTACATCATATTAGTGTCATTCCTAAGTGTGTGTGCTTATTTCAAAATTATATAATTAATTATTTTTTTATAATCAACTATTATATATAGAATCATGTTAGATGATATATGTGCTTTTTTAAAAGGCATTTTTTTAATATAACATTAGAGTACTATTTTTTTTTTTTGTTTATTAGGAAGTTGTTGTATTTAAAATCATGGTAGAGAAAAAGAAGTGATATGAGTAGACGTTACTTAACATCATGGTAGAGAAAAATAGGAAATCTGAGTAATTTGAAAATTAATTTTAAAGGACATTTTTGGTAAAACATTAAGCGACATGAACTGTTTATACCAAATGGACACTCTTCCATTTTATATATAGTATAGATTTTTTTAAACATACATAGGTTTAAATTTGTTACACATATATTTTGGTTACATCTATAATCTCCTTTTCACACACTGAAATACATTTAGACCTGCTTGTGTAAGAATTATTTGTACTATCAGTGTAAAAAACATTAATCAATTCAAATACCGTACGAAGTTGAAAAAGAAAATGTGCCTATGCTTGGCCAAATTTGATACAGTTTTCTTGTTGGGATACACATGAAGTAGCTAACTCGAATAACAAATCTATCCCACAAAAACTTGTGCCTCTCTTTCGTTTCAAAATGTGAGCAAGGGTAAGACTAATTTATAAAGGAAAAATTTGTTGCCAAGAGTGACAAACTTCGTAGTTGCATTAGATTTCCTTTTAGATCTAAAATTCAGCAAAGCTAGATTAATTTAATTTCTAAATCTGCCTTCCGTTTACTGCGTTAAAATCTAGTTGGCCTATATTCAACATTTTCATACCCGAACTGATTGAAAATGACTATTTTTTTTCTTAAGTTTTTTGCTTATAAGAACAGTCCAAAGTCCAAACTTCGAAGAAGAGGATAGAAGAGTCCACAATGTATCGAAAATGACAATCTAATATTAGGTGAACTTACGCAACGGCCTTCAAAAACTCTTATCTTCAAAATAGCAATTAACTACTAATACTTGGGAGTTGCAACTGCATATATAATCTAACGGCCCAGGAATTCTAGTACTGCAACTGTTGAAATTCAGGCCCGTTAGATTCCCGCCGTTGTAACAGAAGGCAGGTAGATGAATTTAGGTTGGAATCTTTAACCTCTTGTGTTGGTTCAGCAAACTATCTCTACCCATCTCCCATTCTTGCCCTCTAAACATTCCCTTTCCACCAAATATTGATCCTCACCACTTTCCCAGTTGAACCCTCTTTTTTGTTGACTATAATTTCCACTACTTTTAATTGCGAAGTTGTACGCAGCATTTCTCTTGCTCGGCCTTAAAAAACCAAAAAGTTCATGCAACAATATGAAGTTGTACGTAGCATTTCTGGCATCTCTAATTCTTCTTCAAGTTGTCTTTTTCAAAGGATATGACTGCAAAGCTGTGCAATTCATCTTTGGGGACTCCCTTTCGGATGTGGGCAACAACAACTTTCTATCCAAGAGCCTTGCTAAGGCAAACCTTCCCTGGTATGGTATTGATATGGACAGCGGGCTGCCTAATGGGAGGTTCTCTAATGGCAGAACGGTTGCAGATATAGTAGGTAAAACTTCGAAGTTCTAACTCCTTTTTATTCAATGTTTTAACGTTATTGTGGTAAGATTAGCGATAATCAGCCGTTTTAGCCCTTGTCCTGAGCTGGAATGAACAATTTTGTGCTTTTGTTTTGGATGTTTACTATGATTTGGTTTGGAGTCTTGAGGATGGTTTTGTGAATTTCAGGCGATAAGATGGGACTTCCAAGGCCTCCTGCATTCATGGATCAATCATTAACTGAAGATGTTATCTTAGACAGTGGAGTGAATTATGCCTCTGGAGGTGGTGGGATTCTGAATGAGACGGGTTCTTTGTTTGTAAGTTCAAAAAAATTGAGTAAAATGATACTTTTTTTTTTTCTGACACACAACTCTATCTAATAAAAATAATCCACCTCCTTTTTTTTTTCTTGGTATTGCTTTCTCGGTCATTTTTGTTTGTCTCTTTGTATCTTGTAAGTAGTACCTACTAAACTAAAATATATTGGACAATCACAAAATTCAGATCCAGAGAATTTGCTTCTACAAACAAATCGAGTTGTTTCAAGGAACACAAGAACTGATAAGGGCCAAACTTGGCGACACTGCAGCTGAAAAGTTTTTCCAGGATGCTGTTTATGTGGTAGCTTTGGGAAGCAATGACTTCATCAACAACTACTTGATGCCAATAATTTACAACGATGCTTCTACTTACAATGACAAAACTTTTGTTCAGTATTTGATGCGTACATTTCGAGATCAACTTACGGTAATTCATCGATAACTCCTCAATTATAAGAAGTTAACACGATAGTATTCCTACTAAATTATTCTTTTATATATGTGGTATGCATTCAGATCTGTTTTAGTTCAAAGAGAGGTTTACGTTTTTAAAGCGTTTAATCAATAAAAATAGCTAATACATATACCATACTTCATATGTATATGTTACACAAGCATAAATTGCATATATAGCTCCAAGTTCCAGCAGCTCCATTATTGATCATTCAAGCAGTTGTACAATTTTGTTGATCTTTTTTTTTTTAATGTATTTTTCCTTTTGTCAAATTGTAGCTTCTGCACGGCTTAGGGGCAAGGAAAGTGATGGTGTTTGGACTGGGACCAATGGGTTGCATCCCACTCCAAAGGGTTTTGAGTTCGTCTGGTGAATGCCAGGACAGGACAAACAAATTGGCCCAAAGCTTCAACCAACAAGCAGGCAAGCTTGTTGCAGATTTGTCCAACAGCCTTCCAAATGCGACCTATCATTTTGGAGATGCTTATGATGTTGTCAACGAAGTCATAAGTAATCCATCTAAAAATGGTAAGTTAACTTGTTAAATTTAGCTTATGTTTGGGAAATATTGAACAGGTAAAAAGGGAATATCACATGATCACATCATGTTTATGCTTTTGTTCTTATGTTAAAATCTGGTCTTTTTCTTTTTTAAATAAGAATAAGGATTAATTTTTCTTACACTGTCAATATATATAACTACGGGTCTACATGCGTAGCACATTATCTTTTTGACGGTAAATTTAATATGAAACTTTTGAGCGTTGATTCGGTTTAGCTCTTCAATTTTTGTGCACAGCAACAAATGGTGTAGTTTGATTTCTACAAATTTATTACTAGCATGTATATGTAGGAAATTCTTCTTACTTACACTCAAATGATGTGTAGGAAATAAGCCAACAAAATCAATATAGCTTGTGTGTGTCTTCCAATAATTCGTGTCTTATAATATGAAAAGAATTTAGCATATCAACCAGTGTTGTCAAAAACAAATACTCCTATATATACATTCATGAAATCAAAAGCCAAAATGAATGAACTCCATATCCTAGATTGCAAGATGTAAACAGTTATGCTTACAATTGATGATTCCTACACTAATTCAAACTTCAATTCGAGCTAATCTAGAAGTAACCACTTTACACCTATGCAGTGAAAGCCAAATGCATCATTTGCATTGAGCAATATTAAAAGAAAAACACACACACACACACACAATTCTTGAATGATAATGTAATAAAAGTAGTAGTAATACTCCATCATGATCTTGTCTGTCCCTAAGCATGAGGTATATTGTAAACAAGGTCATCATAGTGTAATGTGATTCAAAAACAACTCATCCCTTTTACTTTAAAATGACTTAAACTCAATTAGTAGTGCTAATATTCAATCAATTTGCAGGGTTTTCGAACGCTGACTCGCCATGCTGCTCATTTGGGAAAATCCGACCAGCTCTAACATGTATTCCGGTATCATCATTGTGCAAGGACCGGAGCAAGTACGTGTTCTGGGATGAGTACCACCCCTCAGACGCCGCTAATGAGCTGATCGCCAATGAGCTCCTCAAAAAGCTCCCATTCTTGACTCAAGCTTCATCACCAGCCATGCCACCATCCTCATCACGCTAGGAATACATTTTTGCACTTCTTCTCCTCTAATTTTTTTTTTTTTTTTGTTAAATCTAGTACTGCGAACATTTACATGACTCTATACATAATTGTTGAAAATTTTACGTGTGACTAAGAAGTTCAGTGTAAATAATGATTGTTCAACATTTTTTTTTTGAAACTTAGTAAGCACTAAAGGAGCTTGTGAATAGGTTCCTTTTAACTTTTTCGTACATGTTATAAGAAGAAAAAAAATGAATACCTGCACGAACAAGGACGCATTTGCTTCGTGTTAATTTTTACAAAAAATTCTATTCTAAACGGTTTACAACTTATACAGCAAATACGAATTAAATAATAACGCGCCTCCTTAATTTTAGAAATCCATATTTTTGTATCTATCGTTTAAACATATCTCATGATTTTACAGTTGTTTTTGTAGGTAAATTCAATTTTTATTAAGGCAAAAGGACAATAAGAACTTTTAGAATCTAAATGAGGATACAAAAATGAGCAGTAGAGACCGTTGATCATTAAACAACTTTAATTTTCTCATAGCAGATTTTGGACTCGAAGAAAATTTGTGGGAACACAATATAGGTTACAAAATTTGCAATTAATCCATAGCTTTATGTCAAAAAGATGCGTGCAAGATTTTTGGGTGCATTTTCTAACTATCTCTTGTAAAGCATTTTCTCAGAGCACAACATGGTACTTTTAACCCCAATGTGTGGTAGCTGTTCATAGGTTTATCGAGATGTATGAAATTGTCCACAACATATGCACGACATTCTAATCATTACATGTACATGCAATAATATAATTGTATGGTCATGAAACCTTGAAGATGTTATTTATTAATTAAAGTCTTAATCAGATATTATGCAAATTACAAGATATAGACACCATATTCTGGACCATAATCATCAAGTTCTTTATTCCTGACCAGCAAAAAAGCTAATTCTTGATACCACAACTTTGTTAGGAAAAATCACGAAGTTAATCTTGCTCAATGTTACTAGGTTTGCTAATGAATTAGGATGTAGTATTTTGTCTGATCGCAAAGCATTGATTGTTGCATGTACTTTGTGAGGGTGCAAAGAGAAATTGGCATTAAAAATGTATACTCAAGAGCATGAAACATCCTAATAGCATAAAATTTTCTTATAACATATTGCAACTAGTTTATATCAAGGCCTAACCTCCAGTCCACACAAGGGACAAAATTGAATTTTAGATATTTTATGCATATAATTGCAGGATTTTTAAAAAATGATTAATGGCTTGACATGGTATCTTGTTTTACAACATCCAAGGGCATATTGTGTGGTCTCACGAGTCCTTAGCTGATAAATTCTATTCCTTCCATTTTCTTGGACCATACAAGAATGCATCTAACAAATGAAAGCCATAGAAATAAGTGGATGTCTACTTCTTCAAACTCCACTGTCTCCACTGAAGATAAACTAATCTCCAGTTTGATCTAGATATTTACTTCTACTAGACCTTCTACTTAAAGCAGTGGTTTACCTAACTTTATATGCATACCTTAAACAACCATATAGATTAACAACTTTTTGGCTGTCTAACACCAACTCCTCAATTAAAAATTTCACCAAAAAGGCTGCTAGTGATGCTTGTACTTCTTGGATGGTGAAAAAAGGGTTAATGCATATGGAAGATGAACAAGTGTACATCTATTAATCAAGTGTTTGGCGGCCCATGCCATTAGCAAAATCAAAATTAAAGATCCAAAACTATTAAAGTGGAGTATACCATATCTATTTCCACTTTTTTTTTAAATAGTTTTATTTGGCCAGTTGTTCTTGGGGTGCTTTTAAAAAAATATATTGCAGCACTTTTTTTTTTTAATATAAATATTCTTATGAGATAAAAAGGCAATTGTAAAAAGTGTTTGAAAATTCTAGAATAAGAATACTTTAATAATGAGAAACTCCAGAATTCAAACGAAATTATGTTACATTAGATGAACAAAATGCAACTTCAACTCTGTTTTAAGGCCTATGCAGTGGGGATGGATTAATCAAACACTGACTCCTCCATTCTGCCTGGCCAAAAGGAAATATAAAAGCCCAAAAGTATGGTATGTACACTATGAAACATGAGAAAGAGTCAAGAAGTAAAGTTGTCAAGTATTAATATCATTAGACTAAACATAAGACATATATCTAAATTTGACTCCCATTATTCTCCTGCTTTTTATTCCCACCTTGATACACTCAAAATTCACACTTCTAAATTCTAACATCACCCCTCATTTCCTAGTTTTGAGTAAAAAGAACATATCCTAATCTGCCTACGATTATGTGCTGTTACCATAGCTGGGGAGAAAATCATACTACAGGTCACAACTTTGCTAAACACTAATGATAACGAGAATATATATCTAGCAATCAGAGCTGTTCACTCTGCTTTCACTGGTTCTGGTTGCCTAGAAAGGGATTGCCCACGGACTCTTCAATGATGCCAACTTTTTCTAATAGAAATCTTGGAGCATCTCCCTAATTTTGTGGCCTCGGTGTATGGCGATTATTGGCCCCAGATCCAGGATAATCATTCAGCTCAAGATCCATTCTACTCCTGCCGATCGTCTCCAAATTCAAACTGTTCTTTTCTACAATTTCCTGAGTAATTCAAGAGAAAAACTGTGTCAATCCCAGAGTACTATCTAGAACATCCAAAAAAAAAAAACAAAAAACAAAAAACAAAAGAATGAATGCAAATAAACTTCCCAAATCTTTTTCTCTAGGCTTCATAAATGCCGAGTATATGATATAAAAAAAAAAAAAAAGCAGAAAAAGAAAAGAACCCAAGTATGCAACACAAGTAAACTTCACTGTATTTAGTTCAGGTATTTTATTTAGGTTTTGGCTCGTATGGTATAGGAAAAAGGTGGACTCTAAGACAGGGAGTCCAATAAGATAGTAGATGCTTTTGCACATACGATCATACTTTTCTTACAAATTATCAACAGATTGAAAAAGCATGAAAATAAAGTTACCATGTTGTTATATTCTGAGACTTGATCAAAACCTTGAAATTTATGCTGCAAACTCGTTATTCCTGAAATCAACAATTTTGTGTAGCTGAGTTTTAGCTGTATAATGAGGAGAAAGAGCAAAACTGAATGATTTTAAAGCCAGAAACAAGTTAAGAAAAACAAGTACGATTACTTACTAGTAACTGGTACAGCATTCATGAAGCAGATGAGCTGAGAAACACAAAGAAGAAGCACTAGTAAGCGAAGAAGAAAACTGCCTGCCATTTCCAGACAAAACTCTTTCCTTTATCCCAATTGTTCTGTATGTTTTCTTGGTTGGGGTAATAATAAAGCTTAGTGGTGCTTCATTTTATACATTCTGATTGTGGACAAATGAGCAATATATACGATGGTGGTGTGGGTGTTTTGTATGGTGATGTTTGGTTGAGGCAATCAAATCAACACAAGTCAAAAAGGTGTAATAGCAACAAACACAAAAATCTTGTGGAGGGCTTATATTTGCACAACGCGGTTTTGATGATCTTCACATATCTTTTCCTTTTCCTTTTTGCATGTGAAGATTTGAACAACTGTTGTGTGAGGGAAATTGGGCTTTTTGACTTTAAGTGGAGGGCATGATGACAATTATATTAAGTCAAAATGGGTAACAAAAATGGCTTGTTGATGTGCTGCTGAGCACACTGTGCAAGTGGAGGGTGACAAAAGAATGATGAAATTCTCATCCACAGAAGAATTGGCACCAAATTTTCACAAGGCCTAGTGGAACTTATCGTTCACGAGGGTTCATGAATATATTCAATACAGAAATTACACGGCAATGTAGTGTTCAAATTGTGACGCAATTGAATGTTGGGTTTAATATTGTAAGAGCAAATGACACAAATTTTCACTATACTATTTATAGTTCTGTTTTAGCTACTAAACTTTTTATTTAGCTAAAATGATCATTCAATTAATTAAAACATACTTCTCGTGATAAAAGAATGTATATTTTTATTTAGTCAAGTGATTAAAAGTATAAGTTTTTATTAGTTAAGTGACCAAAAAAATGCACTATTTGATTAGTTGAATGGCAATTATGGTTAAATAAAAAGTTTAGTGATCAAATCACCAAATTGTGCATAGCTTAATAACTCTTTTTGCCATTCTCTCATATTGTAATGGTGGATACGACGCTTCATGAATCCAAAAACCATCCTACCATATAGAGATGTAACCGGACTAAAATTCTATGATGGTCCATTCTCAGTTTGGTACGTAAACGTTCAGTTCATTTCGAATTAAAAAGGACAAAAATCTACCAACCAAAAGACCAAAGAATCTAGGGTTGTTATGGTTTGGTATGATTTAAAGTTTCTTCACAAAGATTTCCAAGCGACTGCACTTACTAGGAAAGTGTTATAGTATTATTTTTCTTAAACTTCTTCTGGATGCAATCTAGATGGATCCTGAGAAGAAGGACCATGTAGTTACATCAACGATGTGGGAAATTTGTTGAAACAGGGGCACACAGAATCCTAAAGAGCGCATTGTTTTATTTATTAAACGGCTGCTTCTGCTCATTTCTGTGTTTAGTTTTTGTGCAAGATTTACAATTTACAATGCAAATTTGTTAGTACGTAATAAATTACAAATATTTTTGCCACTTTGATTAATTATTTACTTTTCGAGCGCTCCATTTGCAATCACATTTAGATGCTTCTAAAATTAAATAAATCTTGGTATGAAAGTTGATTTTCTCATAGACCTTTCGATTCTTGATATCGATTCAGACCGAAATTTAACGTGATTTTCGTAGTCTGAATTGAGAATGTATTGAGTATGCCACGTAGACTACATCACATGTCATGTGACGTGCTAGTATCAATTACGCATCGTCAAATAATAATAGCGAGTTATTTTTAGTTTAGTAGAAATCAGACAAAGAATAATCCCCCATAATATTTGGTGACTTATTATTGATACTAATGCATCGTCACGTGGCATTCATGGTATACCTAATATTGTACACCTGAGTTTTTAACTCCGCTTAATCAACGGCATATAATGGCAAATGTTCCGACAATTTTAATGATCTATAAAGTGAAACGAACGGAAGTCTCTAGACATTGTAGTGGTACGTAGTGTTGTTTCTGATGTGGATGTGGTTTTTACTTTGTGGTCGGCTGTTCAACTCAAGTCAACGTTAAACAAAAGTATAAGGCAACACAAGTGGATTACAGTTCCTAAGTAAAGGCAGATAAGTAAATTACAGTCAAAACAAGTGGGGTTTGGAAAGGAGTTACAGCAAAAGTGCGAGAGTTTTCCAGAATTAGTACTCCAATTAGTTTCGCAATCTCAATAAATATAGTATTCTATGGTATGCAATAGGAACGGGCAACCAAGAAACCTCTGAAATGTCTTGTTTAAACTTTCTTATTTTTATGTCATGTTTAAACTTCTTAGTCTTTAGTTAAATTATTTTTTCGTTTGATACTACCTATGTTAAAGTACTACCTTCGATTTTAGGATAAATTACTATAAGCACCCCCGGTAGTTTTGTTTATTACCACATGATCATTCTAAAATTTTAAAATATCCACATAACTTTATCATAATTTTATATAAAGGACAAAACGCACAGAAAGTACCTCCGGTTACAGCGATTGACTTGAATGCGCTCCAAAAATGAGTGTGATGAAATTATAATATCCTCGTAATTCCCTGTAATTTTGTATAAATAACCATTTAACCTCCTTGTTATTTTGTATTTATACAAACTGATTAGAACTTTGATCTATTTAGCACTTTATAAAGGCTATTTTTCGTTGAATATCTACTTTACATAAAATCACAGAAATATTACGTAGATATTTTAAATTATTAGAGGAGTCACATATAATAATATGCGAAGCCACAAGAGTTGAGTCATGTGGCTCTTCCGCTGCTGAAACAATCTAAGCGTCCATATTTTCCCTGATCATAATCATTAGCTTCATAGGAACTTGACCCCTCTTTTCCAGGACATTGCGGAGGGCGAACAATCCTTTTCCACGTTAATGGCTTGCCTTTGTGTGGTCAATTACAAGATAGGTACTCTAAGTACCAAATGTGGCCACAGAACTTTTGATTGTCATTATTATGTCCATTGTGGAGCAAACAACTTTATGGTGTAATCGTTATAGTCAACTTCCAAAAATCAAGCACTATTTTGTCAAATTATAACAACAATTAAAATTCCAAAAGTTGTTGGTTGAGAAAGCAATTAAAGCTTGAACAGAAGTTAGTGCGATGGTGGAAATTGGACTACTGCAATTGCAGGGTAACTCATCAAAAGCTACTTTCAAATGCTTCATTATAGTCTATCTAGTGTGGCACCTTGTAATGTAGTTTTCAGGTGGTTAATTTCAGTGCAATTTCAGGATTCTTTGTCTACTGAGTTGTTTGATTCGTAGATTCAACTATATATTGCATTTTCTTGGTCTTCTTGTCATCATATTGATTAGATTTACTTCATTTTACAGATAAAATATTCTACTGCATGTTTTTGGTTCGTAAGGCTACAGTTCTAAATTATCCAAAACAAAAAAAAAAAAAAAGAGTAGAGTCTTGAATTAATTTCGAGGACAAAACCATATTTGATCCAATATTACAACTACCAAGTAATTCTTCTTATCCCACAAATTTATGTTCCTAGTGTTAAGCGATTGAAGAATCATGCATTTTCAAGGAATGGTAAAAGCGAAAAGTGTTTTATTCACACAAATTTTAGCATTTCAAAATTATTATTCCAAGGGGAGCTACCGAATGGTGGAAAAATAATTTTGGGAGATTGAACGCTTGGGACATCTGTAGGAGATTGAGTTAATAAAAAGAAAGCAACCTTGGAGATCTCTAATTTTCTCTAGTCTTCTGGAGAAGTATATAATGCTTTGTTGTCACTAAAGTATTCTAAATTTTGAGATAATCACAGATTGCTTTTAGATTCGACAGGTAGTAGTGAATTTTCTGTGCTTTGGATACATGTATTACCCTCAAGATGATTGGAAAAAAAAATCTTAAACTTAAATCTACATAAAAAGATGATTGAGATGCTTCTTATTGAGCAACTTTTTAGTGTTGTTTTTAAAATTTTTTGAGGAATAATTGGTGTTTTGCTTTTTCCCTAGCTAGGTACATGAAGGAAATATTTTGGAAAATTAAGAATAAGAAAGGGAGAGTTCTCAATGTATAGGTTTGAAAGAAAGGCAAAGCGTCAACTCATGGCAACTTTGATCCCCCTTGGAAGCATCAAGAAATCCACACACTTTTATTTTTTCTAAGTCACGGAGATTTTTTTTTTTTTTGGTCAACACAGGGGTGTACGGGTCAATCCTTACGGGACCCGACTAATCCCCTGCGGTCCGGGCTCGGCGCCCCAACCCGGACCGAACACGTTAAGTGCGCGGAGGAATCCAGCGGAGCAGAGACTCGAACTTGTGACCTCAAGGTTCACTGGTAAAAGGCGCTGCCGCTAGACCATTCACGCGGGGCAGTCACGGAGATCCCTTGAACCAAATTAGCTACCATCCATCAAATTTTAGGCCATATAACTGTGTGTTGTTTCCATGAAGAAACCTGTTGTTTTGGATTAGGCTATCATTTCTTTTGGGCTGAGCACTACTGCTTTTCCATTTCATAACATCATCCAATAAAATCTCCCAAGCCCAGTGATGATTTGGGTTACTATTGAAATTTGATATGACATTCATTGCAGCAAAGCTTTGATTTGATTATAGAACTTTTACCGTACGGCATTAGATATAGGAAAATCACGCCAACCGTTCATCATGTTTTATCGTTGTTAAATTTAATTCTTCACATTTTTTAAAATTTAATTCATCACATGTAAATGAATTCTCACAAATCTAAAATGTATTTTCGCTGGAAGAAGCCACAGATACATCACATTTTTTGATATCTAAAGGGCAAATTTGTAGATCATATAATTTGTACCTAATTTCCACAAGTTAGAGGGCCATACCTAGGGCCAGTTTACGAATTCCACTAGTTCTTCTCATACCATTGGTGTCCACCTATACACATATTTTCATAATTGACTGAAGCAAACATATGAAACACAAAACTAAGAACATGCATTCATCAAGGCAACAAAATAAGTAGGGTTGCTGGTCGGAGGGGCAAGGCAAGGAGAGAGTGGCGGAGGAAGTTGGAGAAGTGGGGACTAGACAGAGGTGAAAGCTTGGTTGTGGAAAAGGAGAGCTGGTGGTTGTAGGGTTTTTGAAATGGGGGTATTTGAAGATATAGTAAATTATGGTCCTTTACTTTTAACTTTTTAACCCGATAGTTGATATTTTCATGTGAGCTGTTGATCTTGGAAAACTGAGTAAAAATTTTGTGATTTCTTTTTTAAAAAAATTTTAAGCTGGGAAGGATTGAGATTTAAAAAGTAGGAAGGGGGAAGAGAGAATTGAATTCAGGATTGACAAGGTTTTTCTTTTACTTCAAAATTTAAAAACTTAAACATTCCATTACAAGTATAGATCATTTATCAAGAGATATTAGGTGTCAATCCCATAGAAGA